TAGGTGCGCTGTCCCCTCTCCCCTCTGTGCTCTCTCCTCCTCTCCCCACTCCCTGTCCCCACTCCTCATTTCTGGCTGGGTCGGGGACAGCGGGTCCTTCGCCTGGGGCGCCACAGCCATGCCTTGTGCCAGGGCGGGCGGACGAGGGGCTCGCACTTGTGGCCCCAGCCCCGGGGTCCCGGTGCCCGCCGTGAGGGTCCCTGGGCTGGGCCGCGGGATCGCGGAGGAAGGGGCCTGAGCTGGCGCCTGGTGGGGAAGTCGGGGGCTGCAGGGACTCTTCCCATCTGGTGGCTTGCGCGGGTCTGCTCTCAGGAAGGGGGCATGTGGGCCCGGTTTCCCCTCGGGGATGTAAGGGCCGCCCTGGTCTCGTCTGGGCTATGGAAGAATTGGGCTGTAGAGCCTCCTTCCAGGCGGGCCTGCAAGTGCGGGGCTCGCAGCCTGGGGAGCTCAGGGCTCTGATTGCACCAGGCCAAGGTTCTTGTTGAATGAAAACTCAGAAACTGTAGCTGTAGGAGTTCCACCTTTTGGCTGTTAAACGCGCTTGGCTGTTCCCCTCGTTGTGGCTGGAGGGCCGGCCTGGCGTGAGACCATCGTAAGTGCAGGTTTTAGGGCTGCGAAATTCTTTGCTACGGCTTGTCTTCAGCCTTGCAAAGCTAGACAGACCCATGTTCCAACCTCAGTTCTGTAACTTTTGAAGCTTCAGTTTCATCATTTCTAGAATCTGTGTAAAAAAGACCTAATTCACCGTCCTGTTAAGATTGAGCTTGCAAGTATAGTGCTGGTCAACCTGCAGCAACGTTCCCATCATCTAGCAGTGGAAGACGTGAGGGTTATTGATCCTGATCCTCACAACTTTGCAAGCGGATTTCACTCTCATGAGTTTCCAGATGAGGAAATTCAAGGTCGAGAAGTCTAGGTGCTCGGAAAATGTCAGATACCTTTCTTTCCAGTACCTAGTTGAAAATAGTCGTAGTACTTGTTAACGTCATTAGAAATAAAAAATGAAAATTAGCACAGCTGTGATGATCATAATCTTTACTGTCACTGTTGCATGTCTCATTTCCGATTCCCAGAAGCCAGACTTTTTAAAAAAAAAATAATTATTTTTTTTGAGGTGGTATCTTGCTCTGTCACCCAGGCTGGAGTTAAGGGTGCGATCTCAGCCCACTGCAACCTCTGCCCCCTGGGTTCAAGTGATTCTTCTGTCTTAGCCTCCTGAGTAGCTGTGATTACAGGTGTGTGCCACCATATGCAGCTAGATTTTGTATTTTTAGTAGAGACTGGGTTTCACCATGTCGGCCAGGCTGGTCTCGAATTCCTGACCTCAGGTGATCTGCCTGCCTTGGCCTTGCAAAGTGCTGGAATTACAGGTGTGAGCCACCATGCCTGGCCTTAATTTATTTTTATTAATTTATTTTGAGGCACAGCCTCACTCTGTTACCAAGGCTGGAGTGCAGTGTTGTGATCTCAGGTCACTGCAACCTCCACCTCCCAGGTTCAAGCAATTCTTGTGCCACAGCCTCCTGAGTAGCGCTGGAATTACAGGCACATACCACCTCACCCAGCTAGTTTATGCATTTTTCTTAGAGATGGGATTTCACCATGTTGGCCAATCTGGCCTTGGACTCCTGACCTCAAGTGATCTGCGTGTCTGCGCCTCCCAAAGTGCTGGGGTCACAGGTGTAAGCCACCATGCGTGGGCAAAATGCCAGACATTTGTGGCTCCTGGTAGTTAATTTCAGGTGTCAACTGACTGGATTCAAGAACTCCTAGAAACTTGGGAAAGCATTGTTTTTGTTTTTGGGTGTGCCTGTGAGGGTGTTTCCAGAGGAGATGAGCTTAGGAGTCTGAGTGGATCAGGTGGGGAAGATCCACCCTCAGTGTTGGGGGCATCCATCATTCAAGAGCCTCAGGTCCTGGAGAGGACAGAGAAAAAGCAAATGTGTCCACCTGCCTGCTGGAGCTGGGATGCAGTTTTCCTCTCCTCTTCTTGACAGCAGCATTCCAGGCTTGCTGGCCTTTGGTCTCCAGGACTTGTCCCAGCAGTCCCTCGGACTGAGAATTACACCATCAGCTCCACTGGCTCTTCAGACTTGGACTGTGCCACACTGCCAGGCGCCTAGGGTTCCGGTTTGCAGACGGCCTGTTGTGGGACAGTCTCCCTAATTGCACGAGTCAGTTTCCCTAATAAAGCCCCTCTCGTGTGTCTGTCTCTGAGTCCTGTTGGCTCTGTCTCTTTGGAGAATCTTCTTACAATGCTTTGAGGGGAACGTGCCACCTGAGTGCCGAGCGCCGCCTCCTGGGCACCAGCTGTCCCTCTGTGCAGTTGACACTTAGTCGGTGGCTTGGTGGCAGGGGTCTGGTGGCATGCTTTCTTGCGTCCATTTTTTGTCTGGTAAGTTGGCAGCGCGGCTCCCAGTTGCCTCTGAAGAATGTGATTACAGACACTGGTGTATTATGGGTTCCAACTTGCGTTAGGGGAGTGGGGCTGCCCAGAGGGCCCCTGACTGCACAGCTGATGGCACGTGGCAAGGTTGTATCTGACCAGTCTTTGTCTGCCTCCAGAAGGAAAGCAACCATGGAAGACCTAGGGGAAAACACCACGGTTTTATCCACCCTGAGATATTTGAACAACTTCATCTCTGTGTGTGGGGGGAGGATCTGGACTGGATATTCCCACCTCGGCCCCAGGTTCTCTGCAGATGCAGTACCAGCAGAGCATGCAGGTGAGTGGCATGTGCCTGGGTGGGAGTCTTCTCTGGGGAGACCCCTAGGCCCAGGCAGGACCTGCTCAAGTCTTTTGTAGTTGAGGTAGGTCAGTATTAGCTCAGCCTAGAGACCAGTTACTCATCTTCCAGGTCTCACTGTGGGTACTCCTTATTTTGGGGCAGTAGCTGGAGGCCGTTTGGGGCCCTGAGCCATCATGGCTTAAAGGCCTGCCTTGTTAGCACGCTGAGTGGGCCTGGCGTTCAGCATTGCATTCACACAAGTGCACCCACAGACTCGGTGACAGGATCAGAAAGCCAGTTCATTCGTCTGATTGAGGACAGAATCCAAACTGCCTGGGAGTGTGAGCACCAGGACTGTGTGGGAAAGCTGTGTTGAAAACACAGTGCCCGATTAGCTCAGAGAGAAAGCCACGGCAGTGAGCAGAAGGACTGGGTGTTTTGTGGTCTCAGACTGTGGAGGGCTATTTGCAGATTTTGGGGTGATTTTTATAGTTTTCTTCTATAAAATAGTTGTATTTTACTTCATTACAAGTTCTTGGGATTGCTCACTGTAGACACAGCTGCAGAGGACTCAGGTATCATGAAGGACTTCAGGTTCCAAAGAGTGATGAGCCCAGTCCCAGTTGGGGAGTGGTGGGCAATGGTGTCTCCAGCCTTGCCTGGGCCCTGTGGCTGCACAGGCTTCTATAGGCTTCTCTGCCTGGGCCCTCTTTTGCAGTCCCTGCTGCAGGCTCCAGAAGCATTCTGTAGTCCTGTCCCTGTTCAAGGAGGGTCTGGCTTCCTGCTGCTTTCGGAGCCCAGTTGAGGCCCTGCTGCATTTGGTGAAACTGTGGTTTGTGTCTGTGCATTGATTTTGTTGCATAATTGAATTAATATGTGTTTTTTAGAATGTTTGCTTGCTCACTGCCCTTTTCTTGATGAGGACTGTTTTTTATTCTGAGATAAGGTCTTTTATATATATATAGATATTTTATTGTTAAAATGTTCTTTTATGAAATTATGGTAATAGATGGTAGTTATTTTTTATCACTGGCAAAATTAAGTTGCTAACTCTGAGCTGGGTGTAGTGGCTCACGCTTGTAATCCCAGTACTTTGGGAGGCTGAGGTGGGTGGATTTCTTGAGGTCAGGAGTTTGAGACCAGCCTGGCCAACATGTTGAAACCCCATCTCTACTAAAAATACAAAAATTAGGTGGGTGTGGATGTCTGTAATCCCAGCTACTCTGGAGGCTGAGGCTGGGGAATTGCTTGAAGCTGGGAGGCAGAGGTTACAGTGAGCCGAGATCATGCCACTGCACTCCAGCCTGGGAAATAGAGAGCAAGACTCCCTCTTAAAAAAAAAAAAAAGATTGGAAAGCCAGGTCTGAAATGCTGTAATTTCATTGATGCAGATGTCTGGGACCTCTTGTCCTACCTGTCAAAGCTGTGGGATTCTAGAATCTCACTTGGACCTGGGAGGCCTCCAGAGCTCACACTGATAAGGGCCTCCTCGGAGAGGGGATCAGTGGTGGAGTGCGGTAGTCAGAGCGAGGTGGTTAGCAGAGCGATGACCACAAGCCCAGCCTTGGTCCCTGGCCCCTGTCACATCCCATTCCTGGACTTCTGTCATGGTTCCTTCTCTCCTCCTGAGCCCCTGGAGAGGCAGGGAGGGCCTGGAGAACACAGCAGGTTGGGGGAATGTGTGTTGTCTGCTTTTTCACATATCTGTGTTTATTTAAATGTAAGGGTGAGCTTTCAGTTCCTGTCTCAGTTGTAGTCAGCTCCAGGCAGAGGTGGCACACGGATCAGGTGTGTCTGGGACTCCTGGTCCCTGCTGGTGGTGCCCCCTGCAGGCAGGGTGCCCGCCCTTCTGGAGAGGCTCAGAAATGAGACCAGGAAGGCTACTGAGTTTGAAGGACAGTCTTGGGAACCCCCAAAAAGCAGCAATTGGGAATTGAAACACGGTAACATAGGTATAAAGAATGTGTGGGCCTGGGCCACCAGAGAACACAGGTGGGAGGACGGAGAAACTTCCCTTCCCTGTCCTGGGCTTTCCTGGCCTTGGCATGCTTGACATTTGCGCTGGGTGATTCGTTTTCCTCAGGACTTTCTTGTGCATTGTGGGCTGTTTAGCAACATCCCTGGCCTCTACCCGCTGATGCCAGCCAGCAGCACGCACATACGACCACCGCCTGTGACAATCAGAAGTGTCTCCACACAGTGCCAGATGTTACAGGGGCAAAACTGGCCACTTTGGGAACCACCACTCTACTCTGGTGCTTCTCAAACTTTGATATGCTTGGGAATGCCCTGAGAATGTGTTTAAAAAGAAGATTCTTTTTTTATTTTGGAGACAGGGTCTCACTCTGTCATCCAGGCTAGAGTGCAGTGGTGCAATCTCGGCTTACTGCAGCCTCTGTCTCCTGGGTTCAGGTGATTCTCCCACCTCAGCCTCCTGAGTAGCTGAGATTACAGGTGTGCACCACCATGCCTGGCTAATTTTTGTAGTTTCGAGTAGAGACAGGGTTTCACCATGTTGGCCAAGCTGGTCTCAAACTCCTGACCTCAAGTGATATACCCACCTTGTCCCCCCAGAATGCTGGGATTACAGGCGTGAGCGACCGTGCCCAGCCTAGATTTTTTTTTTTTTTTTTTTTTTTTTTTTGAGATGAAGTCTTATCCTCTCACCCGGGCTGGAGTACCGTGGTGTGATCTTGGCTCACTGCAGCCTCCACCTCCCGGGTTCAAGCGATTCTCCTGCCGCAGCCTCGCGGGTACCTGGGACTGCAGGTGTGTGCCACCATACCCCGCTAATTTTTGTATTTTTAGTAGAGATGGGGTTTCCCCATGTTGGCCATGCTGATCTTGAACGCCTGGCCTCAAGTGATCCACTAGCCTTGAACTCCCAAAGTGCTGGGATTACAAGCATGAGCCAGCATGCCCTACCTAAAGAGAAGATTGTGATTCAGTAGGTCTGGGGTGTAGCCTGAGACTCTGCATTTAAGTGTTGGGAGATGCTGTGCTGCTGCACTGCAATCCTCTGGGCCACATGAAGAGTCGGTGACTCTGCCCTTTCCTCCAGCTAAGCAGGTCGTACCCAAAGGCTGGCTCTGGAACTGTTTGGCAAGTCTCTGGGGTCCTTTGAGACTCAGCTCACCTGTAATCACTAGCCCTGTGTGGTAGGCCCACTTCTGAGAGGCCCCCAGCTTCCAGGCTCCTGGTGTACACTCACCTTCTCTACTGTCTCTCGAGTGTTCAGTCAAATACTGACTAGGTATTGTTGCTGTGGGATTTTGCAGATATAATTAAGATCTCAGATCTATTGATTTTAAGGTAGAGATTACCTGGGTGGGCTTGATCTACTCATGTGAGCCCTTGAAGCCTGAGTCCAGGTGTCTGAGGCAGAGCAGTCAGAGACACGGCAGGAGAGGGTTTAACGAGGGAGATTGGTCACGGTTGACTTTGGAGATGGAGAGGGCCACATGACAAGGGATGTGGGTATCTTCTAGGAGTTGACAGCTGTATTGGGCTGGCAGCTGGCAGGGAAGGAGACCTCGTTCTCCATCCCTGTGAGCTTGTGAGAGGATCCTGAGCTCCACATGAGAACACGTCCTGGCTCACTGCCTTGATTTTTAGCCTGGGATCAGAGAATGCAGCCACCTATGTCTGAACTTGTGACTCACAGAGCTGTTGGCTGGTAAATAAATTAGAGAATGCAGCCACCTATGTCTGAACTTGTGACCCACAGAGCCATTGGCTGGTAAATAAATAGGTGGCATTCGAGGCCATTGAGTTCACTAATATACTTTATGTCATCTCAAGAGATGTCTTCCTCCTCCCAGGCTTTTTTACTTTCCTGTCACCTGTCCCTCTCCCATTCCCCAGCCTGGGACCCAGTGGCTGGACAACATCAAGACTTAGCCTGGGCCCTGCGGGAACGGGTGCTCAGGGAGTGTGTCTGTTGCATGGAGTCACTCACCTTGTTTGATACAGTCACTGAGGATTCTTTTGTTATTTGGCTGTGACCTGCGCAGTTGGAGGAAAGAGCAGAGCAGATCCGTTCCAAGTCCCACCTCATCCAGGTAGAGCGGGAGAAGATGCAGATGGAGCTGAGTCACAAGAGGGCTCGAGTGGAGCTGGAGAGAGCGGCCAGCACCAGTGCCAGGAACTATGAGGTGGGTTCAGGTGCGGTGAGGGTTGGCCCAGCCAGCCCCAGGAAGCAAGGGGACTGCACGGTAACTGCCAGGCTGTAAGAAATCAGATCCCAGGCCCTGGGAGCAAGGGGGCTGTGCACAGTACCTGTCAGGCCATGAGAAATCCAGAACACAGCTGGCTGGAAGTCTGACATGCCCTGTGCCACGGTTGCCAGGACATTCCTTCTGAGGCCACTCATGCTGGGGCCCAGGTATAAGTTATGCTTGTTGTCCTAGAAAAGGGTGGCATGAAATGGGGACAATTGCGAAGGGTGGCCCCTTGCTGTGTCTGTTCAGTGAGGCTGTGGCACTGGCACACAAACCTCCTGGTTTCCTCTTCCCTCTAGAAGAACTGGAAGGCAGGTCTGGCAGAAATGCCGAATGGTTTAGGAGTGACAGGCTTAGGAGCTCACAGGGTGGAATGGGGTCTTGGGTCCATGCTAGGCCTTTGGGTTGGAGGGCTGTAGCGAAGAGTGCCGGCCTCAGTGGCAGCTGGGTGTTGCTCCTGGCTTGCCCAGGGCAGTAGGGAAAGCTCCTTGTCCTTGGGGCGGGAATTAGGTTTCCACTGAATGTGCGGATCTCCTCAACTTTGATTAACAGCACTTTGCCAGGGTTTCAGTAAGTGCTGATCAGCTGTGGCTGCTGCCAAAGCTCAGGCAGAGCATTGGACGGAGAGTCTCCCTGGCCTCTGTGCCCTTTCTTGCTGGTGGATGTGTCTAGCCCCTCCCCCCGCCGACCTCATGCAGTTTATTCACGCACACTCCTAGGCCCTACAAAAATAAGTAGCTCAACGTCTTCTCGGGTGTGATGCTTTTTGGATTCCTTGTCCCTGGCCTGCATATCCTGGCCGCGGTGTGTTGTGTGGGCTTAGTGAGCCCAAGACACTGCCGGGGTGGATGCCACTGCCTCTAGGGTGGCTCCCATGCTGCTTTGAGAGCTGTTTTCCCTGAGAGGTTGGGGCTTTTGCTCATGGCCTGGGTGGGTCCTAGATGGGACAGTCCTGGTGGAATTGGTGGGAAGGGGAGGGAGAGGACACAGGAATCTCCCTGACTATTGAAGTTCCCTGGTTAGGGGTGGAGAAGTGGCACCAGTTTAGTGGCACCATTAGTCTGGAGGCAGCGGGCTCATGGCACGGCTCTGGCTCTAGAGCAGGAGGATGGAGTGTGCAGCCGTTTGAGTTTCTCTGAGCCAAGAGTCCCCAAGGACAGGGCCCACCTGACTCTGTCCAGGATCTCCATCATGCGGCACAGCTTATGGCACCTTATGGATGCTCACAAATGTTTGATTGAGGGAGGGGTCACTGTAGGATCTCCGGATCCCTTTCTTGGGAAAATCCAAGGATGCAGGTGACTGAGCTTACACCTGGGGCTCCCTGCTGAGCTCCAGCCACCTTCCAACAGGCCTTTCCTTCCTTGCCTATAGACACAGCTGCATGAGACCCCAAGAACAGTCGGAACCAGTAGTTTTCCAATTGTTCCTTGGAGTTCCACCTGGAAATACCTATTAGGGGGTGAAACCTAAATGTCTGAAGTCCAGGGACCTGCTGGCGGCCCTGTCTGCACTAGGAGTGGCAGCACCAGGCCCAGTGCCACATCTGGCTTGTGACAGTGCTGAGTGGAGCCCTGCGACAACCCCAGCTCTCTTCTTGTTCTGCGTCACAGAAGGGTCTCTTGGTTGTGGTGAGACAGTTCTTGCAGCTCACAAGGGCTGGAGTCCCTCCGAGTTGCGGGTCAGCCATCAGAAGGTGGCTACCCTCTGTCACACCTCTCCTAGGTTTTGGGCTGGAGTCCCCTGGACAAGGGTAGCACAAGCACGTACTCTGCCCTGGGCTTCATGAGTGCTTGGCGCTTCCTGAGGAAGGCAGGGCGAGAGGGCCTGGAGTGCCGGGCTCCACCAAGACTCACCGTCTTCACTTCCCGGGACTCCCGTGCCTGGCAGTGAACTCAGCAAGGCCTGCGGGTCATTAGAATCAGGAGATCTGAGCATGGTTCTTGGTTCTGTCCCATCCTAACCAGCAAGAGCCACGCGGCCTCCCCAAGGCCAGTCCTGCGGGGTGGCCCTGGAGGTTTGCGTGAGATGCCGTGCATATGTGGCAGAGTTGAGCCCAGTGTAAACTGCTTCTGTCTGCAGCCTCCTGTCCACGCCACCTGTCTCTGCCCCTGTCATCTGCTCACTGGGGGAGTGCCAGCTCATTTTAGTGCCAGCCACAGTGTGCTTAGTCAGGACCTGCTGGTGCTGCAGAGCTCAGATTCTCTACAAGATCCATTCTGAATTTCACATTTCCCATGCTCCCTTTCCCTGCAGAGGCAACCGCTGAGCAGATGGTGTGACGAGTGTGTGTGTGATCTGTGCCAAGTGCCCTTCCTGGGAGCCCTGACCTCTCACAGTTCTCACATCATAGTGTCTCAGCGGGGGCACCAATGCCTGAGCTGGGTCCCAGGTCCCGTCCTGGCTCTGCCGCTGACTTGGCTGGCGGGTCCTGCTTGGCTCTGTTCTGTGCCTCGGTGGCCTTTTCTGAGGGGGGCGGTGAGCGCTCCCCGCTGACCCTCCCATGGGCGGCATGTGGCATCTTACTCTTGCTCTCTTGACAGCGCGAGGTTGACCGCAACCAGGAGCTCCTGACGCGCATCCGGCAGCTTCAGGAGAGTGAGGCCGGGGCGGAGGAGAAGATGCAGGAGCAGCTGGAGCGCAGCAGGCAGTGTCAGCAGAGCCTGGACGCTACCAGCAAGAGGCTGCGTGAGAAAGAGGACAGCCTGGCCCAGGCCGGCGAGGTGAGTGGGGCCTCTGCTGGGCTGGGTCCGCCCTCCTGAAGCCCTGTTCCCGAGAGAGGGAATGCATACTCTTCTTTGCCTCTACAGTGCCACCTTTGTGTTTTCAGTTGTGTTTCCCACACAGGCAACTGTGTTGTTTGCATAGCTGTAATCAGTAGAAGTATTAATTTTCCATTCTGTAGTTTTCAGTTAAAAAGTTGAACGTTTGGTCCAGGCATGGTGGCTCATGCCTGCAATCCCAGCACTCTGGGAGGCCGAGGCGGGTGGATCACCCGGTCAGGAGTTCAAGACCAGCCTGACCAACATGGTAAAACCCCATCTCTACAAAAAATACAAAAATTAGCCGGGCGTGATGGTGGGCACCTGTAATCCCAGCCACTCAGGAGGCTGAGGCAGGAGAATTGTTTGAACCCAGGAGGTGGCGATTGCAGTGAGCCAAGATCATGCCATGCACTCCAGCCTGGGTGACAGAACGAGATTCTCTCTCAAAAAAAATGAGCACTTTTTTTCTTCGGTAATTGTGAATTTTAATGGTTGATGAATCTGCTTTTTGTCGTTTGTGAATGTTCAGTGTGTTTGCGTTCACTCGTCATATCTATGTGGCAGGTAGCCCATCCTCTAGCCCTCACTTCTGTTGACTTTGGACAGACCCCTAGGTTTGGGTTATAAGGTCCCCAGCGATGTCGGTCTCTGTGGCGGTTGCTCTTAGAGCCCTAGGCGAGGGCTCCAGTTTCCCTGCAGCCTTCCCTGTCGTGGATGGTGGTCTTTTCTGGAAATAGT